AAGAGCGATGACTCGCTCATATCTCGAAAACGTCGGCACACGAGCGCGGCGCGCGTTAAGTCGAGCTGCCCGAGCAGGGAAAGTATTTTGTGCTCTATCTCTGGAGGAAGGAGTCTGGAAAAGCGGCGTTCGTCCATCGGGATGCTGGCGGTTCGGGTGAAAGAGGCGGAATAAGGCCGGAACTCCGCTTTGCCTTGTGCAACCACGTGCTGCCAACACTTTCTTTCGGGCAATAAGACTCTGTCATCGTACAGGATAATAGAATAATATATATTCAGGAGAGTATCAGGTTGTCTGGATTAGAGGGAAAGAATTGACTCATGACAGTCCCCTCATGCTCCTTGCCATCCACCTAGTTCAGCATCTCCTCGCTCGCTCGTAGAGAATGATCTTCCAATATCTTCGACGGATATGCATGAAACGCCGCTCGGCGTGTTTCGTACGTCCCGTACGAAGCGACTGTGCGTCTGCATCTGGAGAGAGCATAATGAGCAACAAGAAGTTGAAGACACGGGAGATCCGACACATTACATTTGCTCGCCCCGAAAGTGGACAAACATGCAGCCCTGAACAGGGGCACGGCTCATTTGCGAGGTCAATCACAATGTGTGTGTCGCTACCTCCAGCGCCCTACATAAACTCGAGACGAGATGTAAAAACAGACAGGCAGATACAGCACTGGACACTCGAAGCGCGCAACCACGCCCATTGAAATAAGCTCAGAACGGCGTCTGAGCTGGGGGTGGGTGCGCGCGTCGTGCATCCAGCGCCGTGAGCCAATACCGAAAATCAGGGAGAAGATTAAGAGCAGCAGAGACCGGCAGGGGGTGAGACGCCTTACACGCGCAGTACTGGCCAGAGCAACGCTTCAGTTATGGCCATCTTCGCGCGTCGTATAATCCAACCAGCATCGAGAGTAAGAAAACGGGATGCGAACAAGAAGACGAGCAGACGAGCAGGCACTGAACGCCTGACGCACAGGTTCCAACCCCTCTAGGTGCGTCAGGGTCGCACCCTGGAGCACTTAATAAGGTGGGAACAGCGTGCGTCATACATCCAGCACCGAGCCGGGAAGGGGAAGGTCGAGGGGGAGAGCGCACAAGACGACGAACTACGCATGACGAGACCATGGCGAGAGCTAATTACGCTACTTTCCCGTCGATGCAGGAGCGAAGTCACGAATGCGGAGACGAACAAATGAACTCGCACGGGAGGCCCGACGCCCGAAATAGACCATCTCCACAAGTGCGTCAGAGCAGTAGTCGTGTCCTGCAACTAAAAAGACGGTCATTACGTCCGTCGTACATCCAGCGCTCGACACCTGCACCAAAATGAAAGGAAATCGCACACGAAACGGAAAGTCGGGGGGCCGATCCGTCCAATGCGATCTCAACCGGCGTAAGGAGGAACAACCGGAAGCCGAAGAAATACACCCAGTCCGGAGCAGACGGCAGGCCCGAAAGCGCGGACGGACGGACGCGCAACGGACCCATATTGATCGAAGCAGACCGTATGACATGGAACATGCGCATCCCCGAGCGTCGGGCGCCAAGCGCGAAGGAAGTAGGTTGAAATGGGCAGGGACGCGGGAAAGAGAGGCCATGCAGAAGTGGGACGTGGCAGCATCGGACGATCAGCGTGCGCAGCGGATTGAAATGCCACCAATCGGTCGTCGGAGGCTGTCACCGCGCGGAAGGGTCGCTGGACGATTGGTTTGGTTGTAACAGCCGAGTCTAGGAGAAACCAAGCGTCAGCGAGGCGTGAAGGATGGAGCGTCGGTGTAGAACAAGGCGAGAAAGTGGAGAGATGCGCCAAGCGGGGATGACAGCAGGGTGCAGACGACACAAAGGAAGAAGGAGAGGAGGGCGTGGCGAGGCGAGGAAGGGTTTGGCGGGGCGAACTAGAAAAGGTCGAGACTGCGTCAGCGAAGCGAGGACGAAGGGCGATCACGCTACGTGACAAGAAAGTGTGCAGCACAATTATGATAACGGAACGACCGCAGAAGACTGACAAGAGGAGGAGGAGTAGAACGACGTACCGCCGGACGAAGAGCCCGAATAGAACGTGTGGGAGAACGTTTCGCCTGCGTTGCCGGCTGCGATGATGCAGTGGGACTCTGCATCCGAAGCACGCTCGGTCCTGTTGCGCGTGTGTCAGAAAATGGGTTAAGATGTGGATTTAGAACGCAGGTGCAGCACGTGCGGCCACGAGCAGTCGAGCGAGCGGATAAGCAGCATCGATAGATGAGCAGGATCCAGCTACGGGCGTCAAGATCAACAGGATGCGTAGGAGATGTTCAAACGACGTTGTATACGTGAACCGACGTACAAGTTGCCCGCGATGACTTCATACTGAGTACTCCGTTGTAAGGGTACACCGCACCCGTCCCACCCTGAGCGCGCTCCTCCGTTATGCATTACCATTTCTTGATTTGAAAGGCACCGTAGATAATTAACAAAAACAACTAAAACATGTAACGACTCTCAATCTGTTTTGTCACCGCGTTTTGTCATTGCCATCGATTTGCCATTCGGCTGCAATCGCCCAACTGTTTCTCGGCACAGTTGAGAAACAGTTGAGCGCGGGAATTGATTAGTCATCAGCCATAGCCACTTGCAAAAGGATACCATTGCAAGGGTTGAACCAGCGTCGTCTCAATTATAGGAGAGACACTTTACCAACTGAGCTATACTGACTTGAAGTACCTGTATACACACTTTAACAGTATCGCCCGCGCTGGTCCGGACTTCAGACCAGAGTCTGAAGTCTGGCTTAGTCAGACGTTGCTGACTAATACATTACAGTGATTATCTTATCATTCCCCTTAGTTCTACTCTATTCTTCTGGCTTAGTAAGCGCCTTGTGGCGCTAGTATATAAGGAGCTGTACATAGGCCCAAGAGAGGGCAGATTTGGAATACGGGACATAGTCTCATTCAACCTTGTGTGATTCTCTACTCTCGTTCTCTAAGTCTCTATCGTAACGCGAACGCGATCATCGGTAAGTACTGCGGACTAGTGTACTAGTCTTCCAGTAGCAATACAATTTCATTGTTCTATTGTCACTCGGCGAGCGGTGCTCGCCGATGTGTCGCGGACCTTACATCCGTTCTCGCGATGATCCACACCTGTAATACATCATGGCGTTTAATCCTACAGCTAGACAGAGTTCTATACTGCTCACGCACCTGTACTGCTCGCGTCTGTCGAGGTACATGTACAGTAGGATTTCGAGGGCGAGATGCGCAGCCGTGACCGATTCGACCAGTCCGCTGTACTTTATGCCCGCTTCAGGGGTCTGCAGACCGATTCAGCTCATCAGAATCCGTGTCTTCGTCTGGCGCGTCAACGAACGTTCCCATCCCGTAGCTACATGAACGTGAGTGCGCTGGCAGAAAGCGAGGTGCAGGGCAGCGGACATACGACGAGGGCTTGCCGATCGTATATACGATCTTATCGCCGTGACTCGTACGCGCCCCGTGAGTCGTTTGTGGTGGGCATGGCAGGACAGTATGAAGGACGGAGACAAGTTGCGAACGGGTGAAGCCGGACTCGGATCCTGTCCTCTCACCGAGTCCGACGTCGCCACTTCGGGCTGTACGAATCTCGCCGGACTACGCGCTACAGGCATGGACACCGATTTCCAATGCCCCTTGAAGTTGTTTTTTTTTGGCGCAGCATAACACAGCGAGCGTACAGATTCGCCTGGACAAGTTGCTCGACACGAATAATTCGTGTAACACGATGCACCGCTGCGAAACCGACAGCGATCTCGAGACTGGCGCTACATCTCGGCGGTCGTGCTCGCCGCATCTACAAGTCTTTGCATATTGATGATTGCTCATTCTAGTACAGCCGTGAACTGTGGACACCCGTCAGTCAATGAGTCATTCTAGTTCACCGTCCATCCCTCTGAGTACGGCAACGAAGGGAGGATTAATAGGACAGCGAGACGTGGATTCCCCAGGGATTGCAGCCTCGCCGTATGCCCAATGCTTCGAGGTATAAAGACCAACCCGCAACGGAGCGCAGCTGACAAATGGGATAACTCACCTTACTAATCACCGTCAAGTCAATTGGCAAGGCGACAGGATCCGCGCTCGACGTCCCGAACAGTGGCCACGTTGATCGCCCCGCAATCGAACTTCGTCGAATTCGAATCTCGCGGGTCCAATTGCTGTCTCGCGGCATATATAGATCACGCCTCGGCATTCCCATCGATCGTACACAGGTCTCTTCCTTGCACCCACCCAAATCAGCCAGTGTGTACCTCGCGGCGCGTACGGCTTGGAGATGCTTACTGGTGTCTGCTCTGCATAGGCTCACACGATGACCACGTACGAACTTCATTACTTCAACGCCGCGGGGCGCGGCGACATGTCGCGCCTCCTGCTCGACTTCGCGGGCGCGTCCTACAAAAACGTGCTCGTGCAGAACGCGGACTGGGGCACCAAGAAGGATACTACGCCGTTTGGGAAAGTGCCCGTCCTCGTTATCAAGGAGGCGGACGGCTCGACGAAGGTTCCGTTGTCGACATATCCATTGTCCGTCCAGCCGTGCTGACGCGTGACGCGTAACAGGAGCTCGCTGAATCCGCGGCAATCGAAGCGTACCTCGCTGAAGTACTCGGCCTCGTACCCGGCAGTTCGCCCTTCGAGCGCGCGGAGGCGCTCAGCGTCGTCTCCGCCTTCCTCGACCTTGAGGACAAACTCCGTACCGCATCGACTGGAACAACGTCCGAAGAACGCAAGACCGCACACGAGAAGGCTCTCGCTGAGACTATTCCGATGTACCTTAAGTACCAAGAACGCTTCGTCCGCGGCTCGTATTACTTTGGAGACAAAGTACAGTTTTTTTTCCTGGACTTGACACGGTCGACTGACGCTGATTCTTTAGGTTACGTACGCGGATTTGAAGTTGTACCAAATCGCGCTCAAGCTGGAGGAGATGTACGGTGATTCGAGCCCGCTGAAGACCAAAGCGGCCGACTTCCCCAAGCTCACCAAGATCGTCGAGACCCTCGCGGCGGGCAAAGCGGGCGATTACACCAAGAACCATCGTATCATCGGGTTCGTCATATTCCAGTTACCACCTCATCTGGATGCTGACTCTGTTGCGCGCTGCAGAGTGCTCAAGTGGTTCAAGGACGAGTGGAAGTGGGGATTCGCCGCGTGAACATCGAATAAGGTGGGACTGTGTCTTATATTGTAGAAAACCGACAACGAAGGATATTGTGACGGACGGACCCAGAACACAACGAAAGCGTACACGACCGTGATGCGTGGAACGATAGGTAAACATCAGCGAGGTACTGCGTAGACCACGAACACGTCGAGCTCATCATATACCAACTTCACCGCTTCCGGATCCTCGTCACTTTCCCACTTAGAGTCCGGACCGGCACTGGTACGCGTGAATCCAACCTCCGACGAGAAGATGACGGCCATAGCGTCCTTGCACGTTTCTGCAATAGCCTTCGCCCACGCCAACCCTCGCTCGAGGACAACCTCATCGGCCCAAGACTCCACATACGGCAAGATGTTGACGGCATTAGGAAACGGCCGCATAAGCCGATTCCACGGGGGATCCACATCCGCATCTACCTTGTGCTCTACCGTTAGATATATGTATATGTAGTAGGTTCAGAACGCCTGCACTGGCACTTACGTTTTCCCCATCTGCATAGCAGAGTATGAGAGACCGCACACTCGCGCACGTCGGGCAGTCTCTGAGCAAAGCGAGCATCGTGGTTTGATTAGTCCTTAGGGCGATAGTCAAGTGACGCAGACTCTCGTGGCGCGCCAGCGGGGCTAGAGTCGGCACGATACCCGAGCCCACTTCTCCAATCATAGTGCACGACACGAGGGAGTGCGCGTTTGAGTCGGCATGTAGGAGCGGCATGAAGGCGAGAAAGGGTCCCTGGTAATGCATGGGAGCTGCAACCGACACGTCCAAGTCGCCGACTGGCAATGTCACTTCCGTGTCTGTGTCGAACGGCAGACGCAGATTCTGCAGTCTGTGCAAGTGGCGCATAATGAACTCGATGCACGAGTCGGGCTCGTCCAAGCGCAGACGCCGTAGATGTGGAAAGGTGACGTCCTGGAGTCCCAGATTCTCGCCAGTTGGAGTGGAACCTTTGAGGCATAGTGCGACAAGTCCAGGCATAGACTTCCAGACGGTAGGCAGTGTTTCTGGGGTCAACGGCCTGGCACAAGCTAAATCTGCGCCGGCCGTTTCGAACAGTAAGGCGATAGTGACATCGAGGAAGCGGACGTGTCGACCAAGAGTGGTGTCTTCGAATACGCGAAAGACTGCTTCGAACGACGTGGAAAGAGGAGAATAGACGGCGTCGCCGTCGTCGTCGACATGCACAGACCAGCGCGCAATGTGTCGGAAGAGCAACGCGACGCTCGTGTCGCGAAAACGTCGGCATACTAGCGCGGTACGCGTCAAGTCGTTCTGTCCAAGAGTGCCAAGGATCTCGCGTTCTAGCTCGTGGGGAAATGATCTGGTAAAGCCGCGTTCGCCCATCGCGATGATGGCGGTTCGGGTGCAAGCGGCGAAATAACGCCGGAACTCCGCTTTCAGGACCTCAGGTGTGTGAGTCTGATCTCCACTACAAAAATATCATATTTTTCGTGAAGTCTTCTGTGCAAGACTCAGTCTGATAGACCTTGATATTTACTGTCAACGTCCATATAATCCCTCCTGATGCACGGAGAAAGTAGCTTCATCGAAACGGAATGATAGCGGTCCAGTGGTGTGCGAGGCCGGGCAACGCTACGCCGAGCCTACCACTATGCGAAGCGCTACACAATACTTGCCTACAACGGGACCAAGTTCGACATTGGCGACATGAAATAGTAGTGGCACAGTCCGACGACAAATTACCGAGCTACTGCCCGCACAACGAAGGGAGATACGATCTCTTAGTGTAGCCGGGGTCCGGTTCGCGAACCTCCGAACCCCCGAACCGAACCCGAACCGAACCTCGGTTCGGGCCGGGTTCGGTTCAGGTTCAGTGGCAGTGCCGAACCCGTCTGAACCGGGTTCGAACCGAACCGAACCCCCGAACCTCTCTATATATAGATGGCTCTATAGTCATCATATAGACCCTATAAATAAGGTTTTGAGCCCACTATGGGCTTATGTAATGCATATGATAGCATCCCGGAGTTGCTAGTCGTACTTAGCCACATGTATGGTATGACTTGCAAGGCATGCACTGGTAATATACTATATTCCCACGGTCCTATAACGTCCATGAGTGTGTGTTTGATAGCCCTACATCGACCCATAAGCCATGTATGGCATTGGAAACATCATGTATGACATCATGGTATCTAAATATAATTTTCATAGTACCCTATGGTATCCCCAGGCCGATATAAATATTTAGCATAAGGTTCGAGGTTCGAACCCCGAACCGAACCCGAACCGAACCAAGGTTCGAGGTTTGATGGTTCGGGACAGGTTCGGGTTCGGGTTCAGGCAAAAGTGCCTCCGAACCGCACCGAACCGAACCCCGGCCACACTACGATCTCTGCAATTTCCTGCGCGTCCTGGTCGGCCTCCCACTTATGGTTGGGACTGCGACGCTTAAGTGCTGCGTCGTCATCGAAGGCGACCGCAACGACTTCAGTGCAGATTTGTGCGATCTCATCCGCCCATCCGAAGCATTTCTCGAGGATCCACCT